TGTTAGCCGGGATGGCGGAATGTGAGTCTATTGGTGCTTTATTCGGTCCGCGTTCATAGCCGCGCTTTACCGCGCTCCACAGGACCACATAGGATTGTACACGTATTGAAACCAAACACCATGATTGAGGGTATTGTGAGATACGATCTGATAGTCTATTGGTGGACCTTATAACTATAGGCTGATATTGTTTCTATGTAGGCAGTTGGAGGGCATAATACTGGCTGAAGAGAATCTGTTTACAACGAAATACTAATTCTCTCTCTCTCTTTTATCGAGACAGATTTGATAGATCTACATCAGGACATATTCTTCCTAAAAGTTACAAAAAGGATGTATATTATTTCATACTCGCGACCCTAACAACCCCTCGTCACAGTTTGCTTGGTAGTGGCGGTTTGTTTAAATACTGCGATCAGTCGGAAATCGCGATGTTGCCTGACTTGTATAGAGTATGTTATGATTCTGTCCTAATTAGACTGAATACAAAAAGTCACTTTTCGATAAAATGCACATTGTTGCTTCTCATTTCGGTCGGATGATGGTAACAATCACGAAAAATGATATTCACCGGTGACGTGATAATAGAGGCCCAGTGAATCGTCGATAACCACTGAAATATATCAAAACCAATTCTTTAGTAGATATCAGACAGTACATAAAGATTCGAATTGCACCAGGCTGCCCTTAGATATGAGAGCTCTGTTGTTCTGGATCTTGAGCTCCTAATAGCTAGCTTACGATTTGATAATTTCAGAAGCGAAACTGGACATTGAACAAACATACCGGAGAGCTTCTCTTACTGAAGAGGCATGTTGGAGTTAGGACTGTTGAGTACTCTGACCTTGTCGTTGAAAATTCATCATCAGTTCTTCACAATATGAAACCAGCCACCTTGGAGGCTCAAATGATAAGAACGGATGTCTCGGGCCTGATCTGATACATATCTTGCATAAACCTCGGTAGATCCAATTAACAAGCATTCAGCAACACATGCGATTGCTCAGCTGAATGTGATCCACGAACGTGAATGTGAATTGTGGATAATTCTTTGATTCCTTGGATGCCAATCAGCCTCGGCCCAATTGACAAGCATAAAAAAAGGAAAACACGGGCCAATGAGACAAAGGTTTCGTAACAAAAGCTCCTACGTTTGGATCAATTCCAGGCACTGCCGTTTCTTAGCGCATCAATTAAGCAAGTTTCTTGAGTTGAGTGGCCGAGCTAAGTCGAAACAAGCAAGGATATGGCTGAGAACAAAGAAGCTGTACCGAGAGACGTCATAAGCATGGCAATCAATCACCACAATGAGTCTGGCACTTTGACCGGGAGGGTTAGTGATAACTACTACAACCAGCCAAGACTGGGTACAAGGGTTGAGGTAGAGTTCTTATGGTATCGTGTGAGCGGGGAGTCGCAGTGAGATCGGTGATGTTGATGATATTATGACGTCCAAAACCTCTCATTTACAGTTCATCCATTATGTACAGTTATACCATCCCAGCCTCTCCCGTTGAGGAGAATTGGGTTTGCTAAATCACTCATTAATTGACGCTAGAGGCTGTACTTAAATGATGCTGCACCCCCTCGTCGACATTGAACATTGACCATCTTGTGCTCGTCCATCACTAACTATCTCCGACACTCACTGTCTGTGATCATCAATGGCTCCGCTCAGCTCCCCGCAAGATCTCGGCTTGGGTGCCATCCTCGCCAGAGCCCTCTCTTCTCCAACGCTGTCTCTTCCTCCCACTCTAGTGGCTCGGCAAAACACAGAAACAGTCACTGTTACTGCGTCCGGCGATAATGGCAACAGTGCCCAAACATTGAGCGGAGGCGCAATTGCCGGCATCGTCATTGGTTCAATTGCTGGATTTCTTCTCCTCCTCTGGGTTGTTCGGTCGTGTCTCAATTTGGGCGCACCACCTCAAGAACGCGAGAAGTGGTATCACTACAAGGAGGAGCCTCGACGACATTCACATCATCATCGCTCTCGAAGTCGACGATCGCATCGATCAAGCATCTCTGCACCTCCCCCAATCGTCGTTAGAGAGTCGAGATCTCGAAGCCATCGCCGTGGCCGCTCGCCTGGATACTATGGAACTGATCGCAGTTCACGGTACTACGTATAAGCCCTACGCCACCGACACGACAACAAGCGTTTGCGACAGAGCAACCTCCGCTTTGATACCTCGTGATGCTTTTCCATTGCATCAGTTAAATTGATCGACATCGGTCCGATGAGCGGACAGGAGTTACGGCGTATGGATATAATCAGCACGTCATGCAACATCACGACTTATGAGATGAAATCATGAATCATGTCACGACTGAGAAAGAAATGCATGTATATGAAGGCTTTGAATGCACGCGAATACTTTGATCCCATCTTTTTCTCCATATCATTGTTATGAACGTTCGAATTTCCTAATTAATGTTCAAATATACATAAATGGCCCCAACCATGTCCAGACCTCCCATGCGCAGCACAAGGCTTTGTTTTTCGTATCATCTCGCATGTGCAATCACAATTAAGCTTTATTGACACCGTGGCGCTCGTATCACCCCGTCAACGTCGTACTCGGGTGAAGCCGTCCACATCAAAGTGACATTTGACAGCTCGATCGTGGCGCTGCGACACTTAGAGGTATTATCAACAAGCCGTGAGCTTCATTTAAACTAGCTGAACCATTCTGAACTCCAGGTCCTCGGACTCCAACTCTCCATGCATAATTCCATAAACATATGCGTCGCCGACTAGACTCAACGATGTTTCCAAACCCGAAACTTGACGAAATACATGCGGAACTTCGGCGCCTTGCAATATTCCCACTTCGTCACCGACCTTAATAGTCTGTGGTGCAAGGCCAAGATGTCCTTTGTTCGTTCGAAAGAGACTTCTCTTGTGTGACGCAGACCCCCAGTCAAGCTGTATCAATGAGGTTCGACCCTTAGAGCTCTGGTCTTGAGACTCCGTGGGCTCAGACTCTGACTCCCTTTGTTCCTCCGTTCTGCATAATTGTCGATAAGGGTGTAGTAGACTTGATAGTAAGTCTACTCGGTCCTGAATTCCTATTGAAATCAAAGCTTTGGAAAGACTGGCCTTGGGGTTTTTGAGCAGTTCGGATACCATATCTGGGTTCTTTGAAATGCTCAGCCACAGCATACCGTATATCATTTCTCCAAATTGGCCAACAAAGTCATATGAATCATAGTCGTATATCCCTGCTTGATCTGCCGTCAAGGTTCTGGCCAGCACTGACAAGACATTGTCTTCTCCAAACGCCTTGACAGGAAATGGGTTCAGAACGAGGTTGAGAATTTCAACCATCTGAGGATAGCCCTCTATATCTTCCCAGTATGCAGTTGTGACGGCAGTAATCGTATCAAAATAAGAATATGGCGAGGAGATAGTGTATGGTGAGTTGGTATCGTACTCGATGCAGACTTGTTGGTGAGTTGCTGTTTTGAAGGTATCTTCACTTCTTCGTTGAAGAAGCCTCCAAGGAATAGCTTGTGTGTAGTCTGGAACCCAGGACGGTAGATCTGGGATGCGGTATCTACTGCGGTCTCCTATATAGCTTAACCCTCGCCAGCTTGTTGTGTTGAGTAGGCAATGTGCTGCAGCTATCGAAAATACCTGCCGGGCTGGTTTTGAATAATCGGCAACTACTGGTTCCATATAATCATCCGCTGTAGTGGTATCTGGATTTCATTAGCCAGTCCTTTCTTTTTCTCAAAGGAGATGAGTTACCTGATATTGCCAGTAAACCATAAACCTTGTCTCTGGGATCTGTAGCATGCCTCGCACGATGATAGTCGACCTCGAATCCAAGTGGCGAAGGGGAAGTTCCATCAACTTCCTTCCTCAGTTTAGCTATCAAGTCGTATGTGAAGTTCATCAGCCACGTAATGGCTGGGGTCCTCTGGATGTCTTCTGTAACACTCCTCGACGAGTAACTATCATGTGCAATACTACTTCCGGCGAGGATAACATCCACAGAAGCATAGATTGTTCCGCACATAAATGTCAACTCTCGAGCTAGCCACATCTCTTGAAGTGTCCATGTCCGGCCAAACCATGCATGGTCAGTGAAGAAACGTGTCATGGCTAGCAGTTCTGAGTCAGTGAAGCTGCACGATGCAAGTGCTTTGTCCCTCAAGACGACATGCTCGTCTGAAAGGAGCTCCTGGCGGGTGATGGGCAATCTTTGAAAGCAAGCCACTGCTGTCTGGGTGTATTCTCTCTCATGACCGAGCCATACAATGACTTCCTCAGCACTTTTGTAGATATTTGCCATTTGAGAAACCTGAGCGTTTCGTTCCTCTACATCGTTTTGATTAATGCAAAGAGCATCTATCCATATGGGGCCTAGAATTCCAGATTGACACAGCGCAATGAGGGCGTTGTAAAGGTTTTGCCTGATATGTATCTCAAATCCGTCAATGAGAATCGTCTGAGAAGGCTTCGACCAACTCTCATCGGTTTCATCTCCACCCGGCTCCCCCCAAGTATATGACAGGCATTTGTATGCTGGGTTATCGTCAAGGTTGACGACAATCATATGGCTCGAAACTACGGCATTCTGAGTTCCAGGAATGATTTTGAGAAGTCGAATCTGCCCGTGCAGTAGCAAGGAGTCATATTTGTATACCATCTCGAAGCTATGTAGCTGTGTTTACCAATTTGATCCTTCATTGAGCGATTATGTTGCCGGATGACGTCTGAAATTTCTTGGCAGGGTTGATTGCATGGGGGCCATGTCTGTTTTAGGACACTTAGGACTGACCAGGGTTGTGATTACTTGTAACGATTTCTGGCATTCTTTTTCTTCTTTGCTTCAACAGACGAGTCGACAAAAGGGAAAAGTCTTCATTAGAATCACTAGACATGGAGCATAATTCAAGAAATAATACACGAGATCTATTTAATCTAGCTATCCAATGATAGCCTGTTATTAAATCCACGCTCTAGATATGTTTACAGCACATACGCTGATTTATGCATGATGGTTCTTCATATCATCTTCAGGATTTGAAGTGCATGTGGTCTCGGCCATGGATGCGCCCTCAAGAGTGGCACCATCCATATTAATTTCAATGAGAGGGCCCTTGTAGTGTTTTCGACCATCAACGATCCAAGTGCCCACTGCAATCAGAAGGATGACTCCAAAAGCAGCGATACAGTAGTTCATGTTGGTAGCCGTGACGGGAAGCTCGGGTGGGAATACGAAAAGGACGGTGGTGAGGATGGCCCAAGCAATACCAACGAGACTGCAAACCCATCGAACAGGGGCGCTGAGCTTGAAAGGTCGGTCTTCGGGAAGTAAGTTTCCGCCGCGGAGGAGGTGAATGGCGGGAGGGATCGCGTAGGTGACACCTTTGAAATGTTAGTTAAGAAGAGGCACAGATGGAGGACAACATACCGAGAGCAACAACGGAAGCAGCAGTAATAGCGTTGAAGGCACTTGAGCTTCCGAGAAGAATAAGACCGAAGATGATAACCCAGGCCGTAGTCCAGAGAAGAGCGTTGAGAGGAACCTCAAGGGCGTCGTTGTACTTGGCCCAGATATGGCTAAAGGGAAGACCTCGGTCACGGCTGAAAGCATAGGTCATGCGGGCACTGGTGGTCATGATAGCAGTGGCAGTAAACACCATGCAGACGATAGAGAAGACGATGAGGCAGATACTTCCAGCCTTGCTGTTAGTGGCATCGAAGTACATTTGCAGAAGAGCACCAGCTGGTGACTCGATAACGGTTTGAACGTCCTTGAGAACGAACAGCAGGCAGGAGAGAAAGATGAAACCAGAGAGCATGCCGATAAGAATGCACCAGATCATAATTCTAGGGCCCTCCTTTCGAGCGTTAGGGATCTCTTCAATCATATGCGCTGCGGCATCGAATCCGGTGAGAGCAAAGGCACCCTGAAGAAGTCCAAGCATCCAAGAGACGCCATCAGGCCAGCCGACCTCATTGATAAACTTTCCATAGACGAAAGCACCGCTCTGGTAATCGGGAGCAGCACAGGCCAAAACGGTTATGCTGATGATGATGAATCCCGAGATACTCCACAGGAAGGCGGCTTTGTTGAATAGAGGCAGAATTCGTGTCGCAAAGGCATTGATGACAAGGGCGATGATCGTGAAGGCCAGGTAAATCAGAAATTGATGCCATGCCTTGGCTTCGTAGGTAGGATGCATGAAAGTAATCGAATCAATAACAAAAGTACTTCCGAGCAGAGGAGCCGTTGCCGTCAAGACAACATAGCCAGCAGCGTTGATCCAACCGGTGACGTAGCTAATACCCCTTGACCACTTGGGCCAAGCAATAAGAGCAGCCCAATGATATTGACCACCAGCGGTAGGATAAGCCGATAACATCTCAGCCAGGGGAGCAGCTAGACACAAGTTACAAATACCAGCCACGATGAGACCCCAGATGACAGAGCTGGGACCTCCAGAGGGGAGGGCGAGACTGATAGAGGCTGACAGGGCGGTCCATGTGTTGAGGATGGCAAAAGCGAGACCGAGAAGAGAGATCTTGGAAAAGTTGCGCTTGAGTTCCTGCTTGTGGCCGAGCTGTTCTAAAGCAGCTGAGTCGTCAATATGGACATTTCTGTCCCGCGGCGTTTGGGACTCCATGATTACTGAGATGAGGTGGGATATCAAGTGAGGTCAGAGGGTGACATGTTGGGAGGTTAGCAAAGCAGGTATTTAAATGCCAGACGTCAGGCCCGTTAACGGAGGATCACTTCTCATGTTGGGCTAGGCTGTAACTTGGACTATTTGGTATCTAGTTCGGCGATCGTAGCTATCTCTGGGGGGGCGTCATTGTGGTTGCGTAACAAAGTCGCTTTTCCCCATCCTCAGGGCGCAAGAAAACTTGTGACCTGAAGGAAGAGTGTCAAAAATATTTAGTCTAAACTCAGGTGAATCCACACTGAGATTACCCAAGTCTTTTTGTCACCTGAGATAGATGCCTTGAGCTTTACTGCCTCCCCTGGCCCATGTCGCTGTGACAGTCTAGGGATGACGATCCACCCTTCGCGGTGAACTCGATGGCTGGATGACGTTGTGGGGATCATGCCCCGGGCCGGGGAAGGGCCTATCTCTTTTTGTTCTAGAATTGTTTTGGGGTGATTGTCTGGGTTGGGGATTGGGCAAGCCATCCTTGAATGAGGCTTTTGAGTAACAAGTTCGGCTCATGTTCTAGAAGTAATTTATGACATGTAAGGCCCTGCAAGCTGATGAACCGCATAGGAAAATAACTGCCCAGGACAGCTATACTCCTGCAAGTAATGCAGCGTGGTAGAGCACTCATCGAATGATTACAGGGGCCTGTCTTATCATGTCCCCTCTGTACAGTACCCGTCCGTCCGTATGGAGATCGTCTAAGCTGAAGTCTAGGCTTGCGACAATAGCGCGCTTCGGAGCCGACTCTCCCAAAACCAAGTCCATGCTCCGGAATCAGCGGCCTTTTAGTCTCTAACAAAATTTCCTTCTCCTACGCGCCCTTCTTTAGGCATGTCATCTCTCCAACTCTTTTCAATTGGTTTCAAACACGTTGTTATGGTCAGACTGGAATGAATCTAGCTCCCCCACGAACGGATGTGCGGCTCCCTAGCTGATTTACCCCAACTCATCAAAGGAATAGTTGGAGATAAAAATCAGGAGACCTCTGTAAAATAACTCTAACGGGGGCTGTCTTTGAGGCCCATTTCAGTGGAGATGTTCCCCCAGCTTGGTGACTTTTGGATATTGTTCACGAATAAGGCAGATAATCAAATTGCGGCTCTCTGAACATATTCTGGTCCGTGCTGTCTACTACTCATCCGTCTTAACCGAGTCGACCGGCCGAACCGGCAGATGTTGCATAAATGCATAGCTCTCACGGTCTTTATCAGGGAATTATAACTCTCAGGACCGGCATCGACCGGCTTCTCGACGGGGTTGCCGTGCCATGTGGGAATATTAAACTGGAGCCTGTAGTGGCGAGAGAGAAAAGCTTCACTTCTGAGTTTCAAATCCCCGTATTGACGACTCTGGAGAAATGGTTTTTATTACGTTTTGGAATATGACAAGATGACCAGTTATACAGATTTTGCATGGCACTCCGCGATATGACCCCGCGACCCTGAGGGGTTTTTGCTTTTCCCCAGGCTTTTCTCCGACTTTTTGGATTTGTGTTGAGTAATGAATGTTCACAACGTTCCACTTTGTTTTCGGAGCTTGACCGTTGGGTCGGAGGTGCTCTCTTTTGAGATGAGAGCATGAAAGTTGCTATTGTTCTTAAGATCAGACTAAAGAGGCTCGAACAAAGTGGAATCGTCGGCATTTCGATACGGACCGCCCAAGATGAGCTGATCATTATCAGGCGCTGGATATAGTGATGGGACGTTGATAAATAAGCTCCACGATTCTTGCTGTTCCTGGCAAAGTCTGCCAAGTTGGGTTTCTTTATAGATGGCGGTAACTCAAAAGTGGCCAATGAAACTGGTCTGATAGATAGCCAATATCAAGTGAATATCTAAAATCGACTTCTGATATTGAGGCTCTGCTCCAAATTGCTTCGCCAAGAGCCGCCAAGGCGGGAGGTGCACGCCATAGCTTTCGAAGCCTGTCAGTCACTGTACCACGTTTATTGAGACATAAGATTCTCAATGGAGAGTCTTGGTCGATATTGAAGGGTGCGCATGGATATGATAGCGCAATAAGACAATGATAAGGTAATATAGGAAGAATAGCGGTTGAAACAGACTCAACCACTTAGAGGATCGAGGAACAGACAATTGAACCAATTACGACTGGCAACAGCCCAGATGCCTCGAGAATGCAAATTCACCCAAGTTAGATTCGTAACTCTTGGACACTCCAAGCGTAACTTTTTGATATTTAAAGGGCATATTGAAAGGGCTGTAGAGCATGAAGTCGACGATTCTAGAACATTACTTGAAAATGGTTTCAAGATATCTAAGCACAGGGTAACTCCCACAGTTTTAATGCACTTAACATACTCTAAGGAATGAAGACTAATTGTATAGAGTTATAAGATCTTGGGGCTTAAATATAACCTTGATTTGATAACATATACTAGTAATTTCTGAAAACTCTCCGTCAATCAACGATGGCCTTCCTCAATGTGCATGTGTATAGACATTCCTACGCCCTTCCCTGACACAATTCGCCAGAGATTTCATCTCATCAGCTCAGGTTCCGTGGTCTAGTTGGTTATGGCATCTCGTTAACACCGAGAAGGTCCCCGGTTCGATCCCGGGCGGAACCACATTTTTGCGGATCCGAAAGGACCCGCGTCTCCTTTTCTCTCACCGCTCACAACTCCACAAACTTAACCCCAAATCTTACCTCTTCATGTATCTCCATTGGTCTCGTGGCCTAGTTGGTTATGGCATCTCGTTTACACCGAGAAGGTCCTCGGTTCGAGCCCGAGCGGGACCATTCTTTTGCTCGTTGGAGCATCCATCCCTTTTTGTCACTCACAGGCACTAGTGTGCGGTTGTGCGTGAGTGGTCAAGTGGCTTGTTTGTCTACCTAGAAAGTCCAGTTTACCAAATCTTGTACATTTAATGTCAATCCATCCTCATTGTTCCCCTGCACCCTTAATAATTTCGGTTCACAAAGTAGTTGTACTTGTCCTCAACCATCTTCAAAGCCCTCTTGTTGGCTTCATCAACATCTTCTTTAGGTAGACCCAAAGCTTCATTTGCAAGGCCATACTTGGCTTCGAAGTTTCCATCACCATTGGGATAGAACGTTCGAGCATACATAGCGAGTCCATGGCCAGAACGATCCCCCTTCTTAAGAAGGTCCATGCCTCGCTGCCAGCGCTCCTTGGAATCCTCATACTCGATATCCCAGTCCTTGTCTGTCGTACCGGTGATTCGTTGAAGGCTGTCGAGCATCTCTCGCTGAGAGATGAGAAAGCTGGAGATGTAGAGGGGCTTGTTTCGCCACTGGGAAATGGTAGGTGACTTGTCGTTCTCATCGTCTGGAATAACCTTCAAGCTCAGAAGAGCTGCGAAAGCTCGACCACACTGATCCCAGGTTGAGCTGTTGATCCGGGTGTTGCCATCATCGTAGAACGTAACCTTTTTCTTGTCGCCAGTCATGTCGAAACCATACCATTCAGGACCCTGGGCCAGAGAGAACTCGTACCAGAAGGAACAGCACATGGCAATCCATGAGGATACACCATTTTCTTCGACGGCATTGATTCCTGGGAACACACTTCTACCGGTCAGGTTCTCGTCGGCGAGTGACTTATTGGTGAAGTCGATGCCATAACAATTGGGCATGATCCATGGAACACCTGCTTTGGCGGCCGCTCCAATGATCTTCTCTTGGGTGCCAGGGGCTGCGGATACTGAGAGAGAAATTGCGAGGAACTGCTGGCCTCGAAGTGCCTCCACGATAGAGTTATCATCATCGTAGTCAACAGTGACAGTGTGAGCGCCTTCGGGGATTTTGCTGGTGCTGCCTTTACGGGTGATAGCAGTGACTGTATGCTTGCCTGTCGCGATGAGATACTTGGCCAAGTACTTGCCAACACTTCCACCAGCCTGTAAAATGTCAGTCATTAATCAGATGATAGCGAATGTGTTACTTACACCAATAATGGCAACTCGTTCAATCTTGTTTACAAAGCCCTCAGGCTGGTCCTTGGCGTACTGTTGAGACATTGTAGCAACTGAGACTCGGAAGATTTATGTATGCAAAACTAAAAGTGGTGGTAATTGTTGAGTGAAGTTGATGAATGTGATGATGATGAGATGCTTCTCCAAAGGGAAGACATCTCGACATCTTTATACTTGAGTCTTCACTACTAGCTTTGAGTGCCATTGAAGCATTTAATTGCCCGGACATTTCGTTAACTCCTGCCGTCCGCTATTCTAGGCCATTGTCGATGATGCTATCGCGGACTTTGCATTTGGCGTCGGTCGAGAATTTTACCATATCCGGTAAGTGCTTTTACCGTAACGGGTAAGAGGGTCTCCCGCTCGGGGCGGATGCCCCCCACCAAAAAGACACGAACCAATCAGAGGCTGTCAAATACGAGAATAAGTTAATAGACCTCAATATCCAGGGTTGGATCGCTGATAGTGAAACCAAAAGCGCGAGTCCGAGTTTATCTCCTTGCTCTCGTAGTTCGGACTTCTCTTGAGCCGAAGTCGTATGATGATTCATAATGTCGCGACCCGACAACGTGTGATCTGCCGTCTACGGCAGTTGGTTATCGAGAAGTGAACCTTGTTGAGCCGCAGTAGTTCGTGGGATCTTGTCGTAGATATTGATTAGAAATCGATCTACAGGCTTCCATTCGCAACTATTTATCCAGTTGAATTTGTCTTCTCGTCATATTATGGGCATGTATTCAATATCATATCATGTATAGAAGTCGCGGGGAGTTCCGAGGACTGTTGAGTCGATTGAACATGTCTACAATGTGAAAGTGCAACTGGTTTCTTCACTACAATGCCATGAATAGAGAATTACCCAACAATGAATAAGTATAGACTTGCCGACCAGAATAGCAAGAAATGAATCGAGAGAGAAATAGGTCCATATCTTCAGAAAGGTCCGGCGCAAAGATGTATCCCTCTACAGGGTCGAATGCTCCTAACACT